CACCTTAAATTCAATGTAGAGTAAATGTTTGTGGGCGTAGATTGGGGCCTGTTTTAAAAACAACAGGATTGAAAGAGTGCATAGAATAAATAAAGCTCTGAGTAAACTGAAAGCTGAAAGTGTATCATTATAAAACTCAAACACCATCATACAAAATAAACCAGTGTGCAGTTTTTACAGTATAAGCATTGTACGCTGAGAGTCTCATCAATTCTCCTCTTTTTATGGGATTTAAGGACCTAAATATTGTAGTCTAAACATTGAACCTAGAACACAATTCATAAATGAATAATTGCTCCGTCAGTACGCAATAGCAAGCCTTTCTTATCTTTGGTCCAGTTTTGGTCCAGAAAAATCTAAAACTCAACTTTGATAGAAATACCCATACATGATATAAACCAATTCAATTAAACAAAGGATGCAAAAGAGGAGTCATAAACAAAAAATAATGGAGACCATGGTATAACCGTAAAGCCTAAAAAGAGTTATGGCCCCGGACCAGAATAAGTTTGAACCCACTCATGCCCTGTCCAGGGGCGAGGGATGCACAGGGTAAAAAAGGTTGAAAACCACTTGTCTCCAGTCCAGTTAAACATCCGCAGATTCCTCTTGGCAGAGGTCTGTGCTCAACACATGCTTATATAACATACCACTGCATAATATCTTCAAAAGTGATCCCCTGATGCATGAGACTCTTGTGTCATCACTTCTTCATCTCCTGCACCTAAAGCCGGATCTTGATGTCAGTTTCACAAATATCTCTCTGCACTTCCCTGACTGTACTGTAGTAATCATCTTATTCTGGCGCGCTCGGATTACCTGACTGATCGGCAGAATAAGCAGCGCTCCTCTCCAGCTCTCATTCCCTGAGTGTGTCCAGGCACAAGATGCAGCTCCTAATCATTTAGCTTCACACAGGCACAGTGACATTGCACTGCACCCAGGCCATGAATATTATCAGACATGCTGCTCCCATCCAAAAGCCATGTGCTCCCTTCAACTATACTGGAAATAAAAATGAAATTGATTCCACATACTTAGCGAATGTGACATAATCTTCCAAATGTTGCTTTGATGCTGGTCTGAAACGGCAGCAGGTTCATGTCAGGGGAGGAGATATATTTTGAGGGACTGGAAAGTCTGATGAGTGAGACTAACAACAACCCTAACATCTCAAGGCTAGACTAGGAGTCCTATCAAGGGAATGTTTTGTAATGATTTGTGAAATGGCAAAGATAATAGTTGAAAACATCTAAAAGATGCCCATCTGAGCAGTGTTTTTTGACATAGCGAAAAGTGCTTTCCAATTTGTTGAAATGGTCTGAGAGTCTTAAATTATTATTGATTACACACTTCTGTTTGGAAGAGTTTAAGATAAGATAAGATAAGATGTACTTTATTGATCTCACACAGGAGAAATGTACATGCCACATCTGGCATGGATAGAAACACTCAAGATTGTGCAAAAAGAAAGAAATGAAGAAAGAAAAAGCTGGCCTCCCGACCAGCTTGTTTAGCTTCTGAAACTATCCTTGTTTTACATCCTCAACTTGTGTTGTTATAGAAAAACAACACCCTATTTCTTCTACTTTGTTCTGATTTAGCCTATACTCTTTTGAACACATTAACACATGACTTAAAAAGGATGCAGTATGAGGAGGAAAGAGAGTGACACCCTCAGAACAGAACAAGTCGTGTGAGAGAGTTGTAGGGTCAGAGTGTTGGGGTGTTTTGTGTTCTTGTAACTTCTTTGGAAATGTGTAGCTGTTGACGGCCAGTGAGACTTCCTACTGGGATATTGATCTAAAACGGTTTAAAATTAAACTCGATTGATCGCCAAACTGAAAACACAGTAATATGTTAGTTATAACACAGCACATGCAAAACCCAGCTTGCATTATGTTGTGCCTTGTGTTTAGTTCCATCGCAAAACACAAATAATTGTAATTTGAAAAATATTTCAAAGAATTACAACTTGCTCTTTGCCAAGTAGTTTTTGAAAAGCCAGATCTATTTTAGTACAAACACAGTTTCATCCCTGCTTGAGCAAATCCTTTCAAATGCACTATAACTAAACATACAGGAATAACACTTTTTGACAAATTTTCCAACTCTTCATTTACACTAGGTTTGTATGAAACATTTCTATGCATGCTTTTATATATTATTATTTTTTCTGCTTTCTTATTACTTGTCTGACAATATACCAAATTCCTAGTTTGTGACTTCAATCAATCAACTTTATTTGTATGGCGCCTTTCCAACACAAGGCCACTCAAAGCGCCTCACAACCCACATAATATCACACAAATCAGAGACATCAATAAATACATTAAAAACAGAATAAAATCACAAGTAATGGAAAAAAATATATATATATATATTAAAAGCACACACGGGATTAAAAACTTCCTGTTTCTTACAAGGGCCATACCAAAAAATAATTCTGATTCTGGCTTGTCAGGCTAATGTTTAGCCAAAAAATTTGAAATGTTTCTACAGATGAAACATAATGAAACACAGAAGTCTTGGCTGTGAGATGCGGTCAGTAAAATCAGATTACACCATGGCACTCTTCAAGCCTGCAGCCAACAGATGGAAGAACAGACTCCAAAAGTTTTTTGAGGCCACACAAACTGCTCCTCTCTGCATACAAGATTAGGAAATCTGATAAGAGTGCTCTGATACAAAGAAAATAAAGACTGCTGCTGTGGTAACGGTGCAATGTTACGTCTCAGCATCGCTCGTCTGTGATTGTTGAATGTTATATACTGTAATATTTCTATTATACATTATACACCAATGTCCTTTCAGCATTTGTGTCAGCCAAAAAGCGTAATTTTTATGTACTGGCCAACAAAAAGCACATTTTACTGCCCCACGTCTGCTGTCGTCTTCATTCCCTCTCCATTTTCAAATGACCATCAGAAACATATAACCGTATACAATGACACTGGACTTTTGAATGTTCTTGCATCCAACCAAGCAATTAAAAGCACACACTTGTCTCCGTTGGTGGTCGAGAGGTTATTTGGTGCAGTGGCTAAAATGTTGCTCATTATTGCAGAGGTAGCTGCAGTGTGTCCAGCTCCCCTATGGCGATGAGATAACTATACTATTAAAGGAATGGGTATTAGGAGCCACATTTGTTGCATAAAGCGATAATAGCAGAAGAATTCAGAGGGGAAACGAAAGAGTTATTGTGAGCCCATACAGCATCTGGAATATGGGTTTGCATTTGTTGTCTCATAGAAGAGCACTAGCAGTTGTGGGGATATTATTGAGTCATTAAGGGTTTAACTGAAGGTTGCTACATAAAATAGGGGCAAATGTGTCATTCTGCCAACAGCTAAGAACAGTATTACACACCAGTTGCACTATTTATACTGCAATGCTCTAAAGGCAATGAGCAAATATGCTGGTAACTGTATGGCAACGAGCCCTCTGAAAATGCATTGAGTTTTTTTACTCCTGCATCTACTGTATAATACTGTCACTGTCTGAAGCATGCTCTCCCATCCCCATCCTGTGCATCCTGGGTGTGGCTTTCCTGATCAGATCAGTACAGGTAGCTGCATTCTTCTCATCAGCAGCAGTACAACACTCTCCAATCCATGCCTGTTTGTGTGAAGTAAATATTAGTTCCAGATTTCTTTTCAATGATTCCACTGATTTTTCACTTTCCGCTGGACCTGCTAGCCCTTATTTTTCCTGCCTGCCACTTAACTACTCATCTGGTACTCCCCTGCTCCTCTGGACTCCCTACCACATTTCCCATATGTTTCACAATTTGTGAATAAACTTTGTTGAACCGTCCTCGTGTATGGATTACTTTTGGGTTTGTCTTCTCCTACTTAGTGACCTAGCTTGATTTGGGGCTCTGTATTTGAAAAGCTATTAACCATCTTCCCTTATCAAAAACAGAGCTGGGGTTGTTTTTAAACAGGATGTATCTCTGCCCCCTTCCATCTAGAAACACTTGACTCGGTCCTGTCATAATATGATGTTATTTTACCACTATGACATCACGCGAAGAGCAGTTTTCTGCTTTTTAAAACAGACATAAATTGTTTGTCACAGTTTCTCAGGCGAAATTAATGTTTTTACAATCGGCCAGTAATTTTAAAATGTGGAAAACGAACAGGGAGTTAAAGCGGTAAAACATAGCTATGATTTCCCAATGAATAATAATAAATGACAAAGTCTGATTGTCATTTTTAATAGCTAAAAATAATTCATAGTATATATTTTTTTCAATAGCCAAAACAACTCTTGCCCATAACACTGTGGCACTTTTGTCCCTACTCCTTCAGTAAACGTCCCTCTAATTTATACTGTAACGTTTCTTGCCTGTTTTGTTTTCTGTACATCCACTTAATACAGTCGGTGTTATTCAGCGGCTGAAGGAAAGGCCAGGTCTTGTCTGAACTTTAACAACTTGTCTCCCACACACTTGTCCATTAAAAAGGTTACCGCATGTTCCTCCATAGATACATAACACCGTTCGCTTGAGATCAGCAGAGAGGCACAATGTGAAATGTTTCCCTGGTGCGGTATAGATTGTCCAACTCCATTTAATCAGCGCCCTCTCCGATAAAAGACCAACACATATCGAACCATGTTTACAGTACAGGCAGCACGGGGAAATGTCTGCGCCGGGACTTATAGTGGTGTTATTCCACTTTTATTGTCCGTCAATACCTCTGCACAATACTCCCAGTTACCCTGCTTTCCCAAAGATAAAGTCAACAATGTTTTCTTTGTGCTGTATATTTACCTGCGGAAAGAAGGTAATGTGTATTATGTGTTTGCAAGTCAGTCCATCTCTCTGTTAATTAGTTTGTTATTGTATTTTCAATTATTTGTTATCCAATAAAAGCAACATCTTTTGCCCCTTATCAAAGCTTGTTCCACATCATGTACAAAGCTAATGGGATTTTTGTACCGTTTCCAACCACTGATGTATATATTCATTACTCTTACAAACAGTATCACAGCAGATGTCAGTTCCAGCCAACAGGTATTCATCAACCCCTCAGCCCGACAACAGCACAATCAAACTGGAGTTAAGATGACAAATGGAGACCAAATTGGACAAACATGGCCCACATTCACCATTCATTTTATAGATGACTGCTTGTTTGTGTCAATAGATTTACATTTTGTGCTGTGAATGCAAAGCAAAGTGAGAAAGCTGGACTGTGGTCACGACGATACAAAACGATACAACCCACTCTTGAGCTCATTTGAATAAAACACAAGGCCAAACATTCTACAGTTGTTTATTTGAATACATAATGGACAGATGAGAGATGGAACGTTGCCGGTGTCAGAATCCAGATGTTAAGAATCAAGGTGTACTATTAAAATTTGAGGAAGAAGTACGCTCGTAACCATAGCAACCAGATAGTAAAGAGGACCAGACACCTGTTATTGGCCCAAACGTTGAGGAATGACATGAGACGACCCCTTTGTCTTGTTGGTTGAATGAATTAACTTTCTGATAACGGTTTTTCTTACCTGTACAATTGATAATACTCTGTACTCAGTCTACAGTTGACGTCACACACTCAGACAAACAGCAGCAGAAGTAAGAGGGAAATGTGTAAGAAAAAGTGCAATAATAATGTTAGCAAGTGCAAGGGGATGCAATCTTTATCAACTAACATCCAGTCGGCTCAACTTCTCTACAACAATTAACTTTCTTTCTTGGGCAACAGCTTACTAACTGCATTTCACTTCTCTCACAATAACAATGACAAGAGTGTCGGGTCCTTTTAATCATGTGTATAACTATTTTAGTGCAATTTGAATCAAGAACAAATAATTAAGAGCCATCAATAAAAAACATAAAAACAAGTCTGGACCAATATTTATTGCTTCTCTTTATACTGTATGTTGTTTGAAAGATATGTTAGAAAGATACTCTAGCTTCAACTCAGAAAAAAATTCAATTCTAAATTTAATCACAGCTGCGATGTTTATCCTAGAAATCACAAATAGATGTTGCAAAAAATGCGCAGCCCTCTGTCTGACTGCTCCTGTCTGCACCTCTTCCGTCTGCCGTCCTGGTTCAGTGCCTTTTCCACACTGTTACACTGATATCTCTCTAACCTCCATCCACTGCTGTCTTGTGTCTCTGGATCACCCCAATCGCCGAGTGCTCTACTGGAACCTGCTCCCATTTCAGCCCCCGCCATGATTGATTACCCATCAGCCCCTCTGCCTCATCTACTCTCACCATCACCAATCCTCTGTATCTGCCCAGTTATAAGGACCAGGATGCATTAGACAAAGATGAAGCCAAAACAAGGCCAGAGTGGACTTGTGTGTCTCAAAGTGTTAGAGCAAAAACTGGAAATTCTGGGTCATAATTTTAACTGCAGCTCTTGTCTCTTGAGAGTGGAATGACCTTTCTTACTGTCAGGAAATGCACTCGTCATCCCCGATAAAGGACACTCATGCTTTTCACGCCTGCAATCATTTGTACACCTTTTTCATCAACGGTTGTGAGTACATTTTATTTTTCTCAAAATTATGGAATTATAGTTTGTCAGAAGGGCATGGCCATGATAAAATAAAAAGTCTTATATTGAGTTGACAAATATGTGTACTGAATTTTTTGTCCCTAGGTGGCTTCACCCGGACATTCGTCCATATGACAGTTATGGGAAAGTAATACTGTAGGCCCTACGGCTTGTTGGGACTCATATATTGGGTCATAAAGTGTGTTTTTATGTGTTTTAGGAGTGTTCTGAAGCAATAGTGAGTGGATATTGCCCTGTGCGTCAAAGGTCTTATGGGATCAGGTGGCAGGTGGCACAAGCTCTTATTGAACCATTATTTCACACTGATAACAAGATGCAATTACTTATTTTTTGCATTTAAACCTTTTTTGTCATTTTGTCAGTTATGTTTCAAGCACTTAAGGCACAATATGGCTTATTATAATAAATGGAATATATTTCTACCAGTGTACAATTATAGCTGACAACTCCCAAACTCCATAGTATTTTCTTTCTTGTGTAGCATTCCTCCTTGAACAACCCTGGCGTGTTGAGAAATCCCGTCGACAGGTGGTGTGGCTAATTGAGTTCAGTCACTGGTTAAATTTGCCCTTGACATTCACAGCTTTGCATTGTTCGCATACTTGAAACTCAATTCACAACCTAAAACTTGAAGTTATTGCTCTCCAAAATAGAAGTTTAATTTTGAACAAAAGTGAAAGTGCAAACGTGGGTGGATTTGTGTTGGAGGCTGTGTCCATTGTTAATATAAAGTCACTCACTCTACAGCATGTTGTAAAAGCAAGGTTGTTCAAAGTAGCCTGGAGAAATAGAATTCATTGTGATGTAGAAAGAAAATCTCAGAGCACGTTTTCTCTATGTGCGGTAAAATATGTTAGATGTGAGTCGTACGTGACATTTTTTCTTGACAAATTGAGTGAACAGATGTTTTCAAATTCTGAAATCAAAGTAAGGGAAGGTTTAAGTTAATAGTTGTTGGCCTTTTATAACAGCCACTGCATTCCAGACTAAAAACTAAAACTGTTCTCATTAAAGATGAAATCATTTTAGAGAAAGAAAATTAGAGAAGAATGTTCCACACTAAGGCATTCAACTAAACCTAAATGGAGATATGTTAGACACATCAGAGAGGCCTACAATATACCAACCCAACTGGCCAACTCAACCTGCAGTAAAGGGGAAACCAGGCCCTCAAAAACAAAGCGAATGACCCCATCTTCCAAAAACAGAAATATACTTATTCTCTTGTTTAATTGTTTCAGGGCTTTGTTGCTTTGTTAATGAAGACGTTTTACAAAACTATAGCACATCCAATGTTTAGGGCAGGTAGATTATCACTAGAGACAATGGTACTTGGAAATATTAAATATTAAGTTAAAAAAGCCCTGCATAATCATTGCTAATGCACTGCTTTTGATTTGATATTTTCAACTAAGGGTAAACTCAGCCTCAGCCGCAGAGCTGAACAAAGTAGTAAAAGCTGTATCTACATTCAATCAATAATGGAGGAGGAAAGAGTCAAATGCTCGAGCAAGATATGGGAGAGGTATAGGGTCAGTGTTTGTGTGTGTGTAATGAGCCAAATAAGCGTCTGCTTCGTCCAACCCCTTTTCACACTGTGTATTGCCTTTTTTTGTTTTCTGCGTATTTTGAAGTAAATGATTAGTAATTCTACAACCACTATTACTACCACAACTACTATGATAAAAATAATACATCGGTTTTATATAATGCTTGTTTGGACACTCAAAGACTTCACATGTTATGAAACATTCACTCCATACATAGTGGTGATAAACTACAACTGTAGCCCCATCTGCCCTGGGGCACACTGACAGAAGCGAAGCAACCAACATGTGCCATCGGCCTATCCGACCACCACCAATTGGTCTCTTGCTGATCACGTTTGATTATTTGTTTGACCAACCAATCAAACAAATGATCAAACATGATCCGCATTAACATAGTGAACTGATTTATCCTGCACATGTCTAGAATTTGCTTCAAATGTCTCTCCCTTTACTTTGCACAGCATTCCACAAACTAAAGCTGATGTACTGTATAAAAGGAAAAAAGCCCTGACTGTCCCTAAGAGAAAACAAACTAAATCTTCTGCCCTCTTTTAGTACCTCACAAATTGCTCTTTCCACTTATTTACTCACTAACTCAAGTTCTGCGTCACTCCACTATCCAATTAACAGTGCTGCAATGCATCCAGTCTTTGGCAAAGTCATCAAACTTAATTGAATTTGGACTAATTATCCGCTAACTCGTGCCTGGTCCAAGATGGTTGCTTCTAATTGAAAGTCACGCTCCATTGGACGTGTGAGTGCTGATAAAGTTTGTACACATGCATCATGCGCATTTAGAGTTTTGTTTATCCTCGTCATTTGTACTGATGAAGGTGAAGTCTTACCCTACACTCCTATAAAATATAACAACGTCTCGTTCTGTTCTGTGACCTGCTGTAACACAGCTTTCTGTTTCTATTATAATTTATTTAGTTAATGGAGCCATGTAGTAGCTGTAAAGTGGTCAATAAATCCCCTGGAATTGAACCTATTAGTTTACTTTTTATGACTTCACCCGATTTTGCTGCAGTCAATTGTTGATTTCACTTTTAATTTAAATCATGCGGCATAATCAATCAATCAATTAAATTTTATTTATAAAGCGCTTTTCATACAAAAAAAATGCAACACTAAGTGCTTTACAGTTTAGTTAAAAACAGTCCAATATGCCCAGCTCTAAACCCCACCTCCCCACAGACCCCCCAAAAACCACATTTTTTATTATATATACACCCACATGCGTGCACACGCGCACACACACACACACACACACACACACACACACACATACATACACACACACATACACAAACATATAAAGTCACATCAGGTAAAATAGGTAAAACAATAAAAAGATATAGGGCTGGGTGCAGATGTATCTAGTTGAAGAAGCGCCATCCAAGAGCTAGACCCCTGCAGCCACAGCACACCCCAGCTCCCAGTGCAGAGGAAACACTGGGGATACTAAAACAATACAATACAAAGTAAAACAATAAAATGTGAGACTAAAAAGAAAATGACAACTACTTAATATTGATAATAACAATGTTTAATGGGTAGGTAAAATAAATGAATAACAGGAAGAACCATAATACATGTACTGGGAAATAAAATACTTTTACTTTTGTGTGGCCCTTAGTGTCCAGGGGAGGGTCCTGTTCGACCGCCTCCTCTGCATCGCTTTTCTGTGCAGGTACACATGGTACACATGGTACACATGGTACACATGGTACACACCTGCACCTAAGCCCTCCTCATTACAGCTCTTCAGCTGGGAGCTGAGCACTCGCTGTTTGTCGTCTCTTTTGGACCTGTTCCGGAGAGTTCTGCCTGGCTTCATTGTGCCGGATCTGCATTTACACGTTTGAGTTTGTCTTTTATTTCATGTGCCACATTCGGGGGGGGGGGGGGGGGGGGGGGGGGGGGGGGGGGGGGGGGGGGGGGGGGGGGGGGGGGGGGGGGGGGGGGGGGGGGGGGGGGGGGGGGGGGGGGGGGGGGGGGGGGGGGGGGGGGGGGGGGGGGGGGGGGGGGGGGGGGGGGGGGGGGGGGGGGGTGGTTTGGGGGGGGGGTTGTGGTGTGTTGTGGTTGTTTTGGTTGTTAGTTTTTTGGTTTTTTTTTTTTTTGTGGGGTTTTTGTTTTTGGTTTTGTTTTTGTGTTTGTTTTTTGTTTGTTTGTTTTTTTTTTTTTTTTTTTTTGTTTTTTTTTGGGGGGGGGGGGGGGGGGGGGTGGTGTTTTTGGTGTTTTTTGGTGGTGTTGTGTGGTTGTGTGTTGGGGGTGGGGGTTGTTTGTTTGAGGTGGGTTGTTTTGGGTGTAGTTTTTGGTTTGGGGTATTAGTAGGTTGTGGTTGTTGTTATTGGGGGGTTGGGGGGTGGGTTTTGTTGTTGTTATGTTTTATGCTTACGGCATATGTATGTTTTATCATTATTAGGTGGTGAGCTTTTTAAGTGTATGATAGGTTTGACAAAATGTTTTACTTATGAAGATTTTAATCTTTTGGTAAACACATTTACAATTGTCAGATCTTTAGAATGTTATAAACTTTTCCACGTCACATGGACAAGTCTTGTCTTGCAAAAAACATCAAATTACATAAATACAGTTTTCATTTCAAACATTTTGAGGACCTCAAACCTCAGCTTCTTTCTTTCGGGCTTTCCGCCCCGATTCATTTTATGCCAAATCAATACTCTTTGATCAATGAGATCTGAGTGGACTCCAAGAGAGAGATGTCTTCAGGATGAGGATCACGTTCACTTGTAGTTTTTTGGACATTTTTTATAGATCCTCATTACTGACAAACATTATAGTTAATTGATCACTGAACACACCATTTCAAACCTCAAATCTATTCATAAACATGTGTCTTACAGTCAGGTTGTAACAACATGTGTATCAGTATTAGTAAGGTATTAAAAATGTTGAAGACATTGTAATTCTTGTATATCTTCTTTTCTAATTTGATAGTGTGTCTGTTTATGTGGTCCGAGATATAAAAACAGATCAGTCCAGCAATATATCACAATAGAGCTCATGCTGTAAGATACTGAACAGATATACAGTATGCAACTAATAAATAGCTACATTCAGTACGTAGATAGAAAGATATATACTGTATACATGGATAGATACGTTATAGATCCCTGTTGGTGAAACTCAGGTTCATACAACCATAATTAAAGTCAAGCTTTTTATTAGTCAAGTTAATTTTTGACATAATAAAATCCTCATTGAAGACACATTCCTCCCAAAGCACAACTATATAATAATGGGAGAGAAACGATTAATTATGTTGATGCCCGCAGCCCTTTGATCTTTTAGAGGTGAGTTCATAATTACATTTCAAAATTTTCAACATAAAGAACTTTATTATTATTGTAAGCTTTTAGACACTTGTAGTCATAGCTTATTTGTTTACTTCAGTGAGGAGGACACTATTTATTTTAATTGTATTTCAAACACATCCGTCACCTTGCTGTTTGTTAGATTCTAATATATCAACAAGGAGGATGGCTTTGTGTTAATGAGCCATTAAGGAAGTCGAAGAACTAAATTACACAAGGGACAGATTAATTAGAGCTTATTTTGCACATACAGTGACAAGTATGATTAGTTGGACATCACATTTCAAAACTGTCTTCCAAACAATCTTTTTTTATCAATCACAAACTTGGCACAGAAAGTCAGTGTGAATTATATCATTTATTTATTAATGGTCGAATGGTAAAAATCAGTGTGAACTTTTACTAACAGAAAACATTTCATCCTGATTGGCCCGAAAAGGTATTCTTATTATAATGTTATTCATATCCTTTATGTTGGTTTTTATACCAAGCCAACTATGCAATTCACCTCTCCCTCAATGGAAAAAGGAGACCCCATATGGATAGCTGCAGAAAGCTCACATCGACAGCTATATCTGCTTGACATGTTTTTTTCATGTTTGGAATAAATGAATGAAGTGCTATGACTGTCATGTTTGCAAGGCCCTGTGAACATGTTATGCTTACTTTCTTTTTTCTATGGTGAGATGTTCTAGACCAGGCATGTCAAACTCAAGCCCAAATCCACCCAGGAGACCGAGATTGTCAGTGGCACTTGGAATGATTTAAATGATCTTTATCACTGTAACTTGCAGCATTGATGGTAAGGGGCTTCTATGGCATGTACTGTGTTATACTTAGTTCTGAAGCCTATTGTCTCAGCAAAACCACCATATAATTGTATCTGTTCTAAAAAGTTAACAAACATGTAATAAGAAGTTATACTTACTTAAGTATTGTTTTATTTTTTTTTAACTAGCAGTCTTCCAAAACTCCAATATCTATTGTTGATATTTGGCCCAGTTGTGGTTAAATCAAAATTTACTAGATTATATCCAAACTCATGTCGAATACAGTCAATATAAAAAAGAAAATAAAGAAAAAACGTATATACCACTTTTATACTTTAGGCCCCAACCAGCTCTTGTGTTTTTGAATTTGGCCCCTGTTGTCAAAAAAAGATTTGACTGACGTGTTCAAAGTTTGATGCAGAAAACAAGACGAAGATTTCCAAGTTTAACATCTGTATTTAATTTATCTTTACAATCAGATACAGAAATTCAACAAAAGCTCCTATCCTAATCTATGCCTACCCTCTCCCTATAAGCTCATCCTTTGTCTGACTAAAACATTCAAGCCTATTCATTATAAGTAAATGTGTAGGAAGAAGGGGCGTGTCGTATCAGGCAGCTCTGGTCCCGTATCCGGTCTTTGTCCTCCGCATCTCCAGACCTAAATGAGAATCATTCACACTCCCCAAATCTAGAGATTTTATTACTTCCTTGAGATAAGCAGGAGTCCCAAGGCTGCTGTCACTGCATACTCTGGCCCCCCCCAGATTAACTATCATTAACTATTTCCTGCCCTTACTGGGACTGCAAGATAGGAAGACAAGGTCTTTTGGCTTAAGCACGAGACCGAGTTCAATCAGTGATTATTGTATTGCCACATCTGTTCAGTGTAATATCTAATACAACATTTTAATTCTACAACACCCCCTATCAAAATGAGCAGAGTTTGATACCCTTGTTCTAGACTGTGAGTCCATAGACACATCATTGGTATTTGTGCCATGTTTTGTGGTCAATACAAACCCTTCTCACCAAATCACTCCCCTGGCCCTCTTCAAAATAGACACTATTTGCTTTCTCCAGCACTGATCTGCCTTTGAACAGAAATGTCAATCTTCATGAAACAACTCTATTTGCTCCAGTGCGATTAAAGCGACTCTAATGTTTGGGAGTTTATATATGTAGGAAATGTATGTCCACTATTTCCTCAGACAGCTGTTATTTATTTAATCTGGAAAATCTTAAACGACCTTACTTGATTCCGTGACTTTTTCCTGTGAAATGTGCCATTGCTTTTAAGAAGACATTGTATAGATTTTTTTGGGGCATTGTAGGTAGAAAGTAGGAACAATTATGAAGTGCATGAACAGACAAGATTTACAAGGCTTTCAATGGGAGCAAAACTGAGTTGTCCCATCTCTGCTCATAAGCACTACAAGCAACAATGCACTGCAGTATGTGTATCTATACTTTATGTCAATGTGAACGGTTGGCCCTGTGTCGCTAACTTACCCTATGTTTTCATCACGGCACATTTGAGTCCAACAACCCATGAAAAGCACTAGCAATTTTTTGTTTTCGGCGGAGAAAGTGCGAAGAATACAGGAGGGAGGAACTTTCTCTCGTTGCGTTTCAAAAGAGAAAATAGATGTCATTCAGTTTTCAATGGGAAACAAATTCCAACGTTCATTTATAGTGATACTGTATCTGCCGTTCATGACACACAATGTGAACTAAGTCACGTTCAAGTTCTTTATTTAAAAAAAGTGTTACGTTCAGTTCAACAATCACAAAAAAATGAGCGTGTTCAATGAACCCGTTCTTTTGAACTCGTTCACGCACAACACTGGTTTTCTACATTTATTTATTGTTTATTTGGTTGGGACAGTACATGTTAATGAACACATCACTCCGGATTATAGCCATGGCTAATTTGCATCCGTTGTCCCGCATTCGCACTGACAAACACACTCATTCAACATGGCTCATAAAAGTCGATTTTGCATAATATGTCTCCTTTAAGCTGCTTAGGTTTCCCTCAGTATGTTATTAAAGTAAATTTCCACCACGTATTGATACATTTTGACATTTAAGAGCCATTTGCAATTAATTGTTTCTTTGATGTTATGAAATCTCGTCCTCTCCATGATAGCGCAGTGGCTTGAACGGTTGTCATGGTACCTGTTGAATACTGCCAAGTGAAATGCAAAGCAGATGGAGAATAGCAAACCTTGTGTATGTGATTCTGTGCATTGTTGCTGATAAAGGGATACAACATTTTACAATTTTATTTTTTTATTAATGTCACTGCACATTGACGTCATCACTCAACCCTTGGTAATGAATCTATGATTCAATGATTATCCGAATGTCAAAAAAATGTTTTTAGGGCTATACAACAGATGCCATTCCTCCGTTTACGAAATTACAAACATAGGGAAGTAGGGAACATGATATTCCACTGAACATGTTTATACATTTGTTTGTTCTCTTCTATTTTTGTCATTTGTACGTAAACACTACATCGCCCATGCTCAATCTGTAATGACCGAGCGACAACATAAAAGCTGCAATTTTCAAGAGCAAAGAAGAGAAGATTGCCACTCTGTGATTTGATCTGTCATTACACAGACTTCTCTCTCTGCTCATGGACAAATATTAAAAGGTTTAGACTGTGTGAAAAAAATTCGTCTGAGCTTCCCTTTTATGAGAAACTGCGTTTATTGATATTTGATGTTCCGGAACCTTTTTGAAACATAAACAAAAGACCTGGTCTTTCAGTTGGATTTTGACAGCCTTACATGCTCTGGATAGATGCCATGATTAGAACTTGAAATGGAGGTATAAGCAAACTCACCCACACGGTTTGGTGTGGTTTGAAGGAAATCGGGTGGAATTTTACAGCTGTGTGTGTGTGTGTTTTATGTGTTTGAATTTGCCCACTGCAGAGCGAGGACTTTTCCGATGGAAGATCAAGAGGAGAGAGCGAA